TTGGCCCAATTTATTTCACTTCCATTAAGGAATATCTAATTTTATTCAATTTATAAATTTTAGCTTTTTTTTTGCTGTAAGTTCTACCTATTTTATAGAAATATTTTCAAATAATTTTCATCTTCATCTTCACCTTAAACTTTGATAAGAAATTTAACAAGAAATTTAATTTAAAAAAATTTAATTTAAATTTAAAAATTTAATTTTTAGTTAAAAATTTAACGATAAAAAGATTTTATTTCATTTTATTTTAAAGCTTCAAACTGATAAACTATAAATTAGAGAAACAAATTTTTTTTTCTTTTCTTTTTTGGTTTTTAAACTAATACTTATCAAATTTTCAATTCTTTCACGTTCGATCAATGATCAATTGAGAAAAAAAAAGAAAGTATTTTGCAGTTAAAATGGAATTATTCCTCATTCAATAATGATCTTTGATATGTTTTCATAATGAATTCTTAAAAAATTCATTATGATTATTAATCATTATGAGAAAATCAATAGAAATCAAAATTTCCTTATTTTAGTTTTAAATATGATTTTAAATTTGCATTTCAAATTTTAATTATATGATGAAAAATGGAAAAGAGGAAGAAAACACAGTTTATTTGATAAAATTAAGTAGATTTTTGATAAAAATTTCATACTTTATTAGCAATTTCCCAGGAACATTCAAAAACGCAACGTCCTTCACGTCGTGCAGTTTCACCTGCATCCATGCGTACCAATTTTGATTGCTCAATATTCACTCCTGCTAATGTCATCTCAATTTTCGTTCTTGACAACGATCGTAGCATATGTCCTCGTTCAGCCATCTTTAAAAGTTTAATCTGAAAAGAAGGAAAAAAAAAGTAACAATAAATTTACTAGCTCATCCTATTGTCACAAGAAATGTTCACCCTATTGTCGCAAGAAATCCTCATCTTATTGTTGCAAGAAATGCTCATCCTATTGTCGTAAGAAATGGTTATCGTCACAAGAAATGTTCATTTCATCCTATTGTCACATGAAATGCTCATTTCGTTGTCGTAAGAAATGGTCATTTTACTGTCGCAAGAAATATTCATCCTATTATCGTAAGAAATGCTCATCCAATCGTCACAAGAAATGTTCATCTCATCCTATTGTCACATGAAATGCTCATTTCGTTGTTGTAAGAAATGGTCATTTTATTGTCGCAAGAAATTCCAACATAATATCATGCAAAAATATTACAAATTGTCATGTAAAACTTTTTTTTATTCAAATTATTTTTAAATTTCACAAATTTTAATATTTCTGAAATTAGTGGGCTAATCTGCCACAAAATAGCATTTTTTTTTTCAGCCAAATGAATTAACCTGTCTTTTGAATTGAATAATTGAAATTTAGAAAATGAAATTTAGAAAAAAAAAAACATTAAAAATCTCTCGCTACTAACTGAAAATGATTGATTGCTAAAGTTCACAAAACATTTGTTGCTATCATTTTATTGCTAAAGTTCACAAAACATTTGTTATTGCTATCATTTAAACTTATGCTATTGAACGGAAATTGAAAAATTGAACGATAAAAGTCGGAAAAATCAATTTAACAGTTGTTTGCTTCACTTTAACATAAACATAAATATATTTCAATAGTTCTAATTTAATTTGAAATTTGATAATTTAAGAAATTCAGGATAACAAATAATTGGAAATGTTTATTTAAAATGAAAAAAAAATGATTTCCGGTTTAAATTTTGATAACTATTTTAGTAACAAATAAAAGTGATTGAAATACAAAAATGTATTGTCTTCTTCTTTTAAATTTTATCAGTATTGAAATTATATTATCATCGCTTTCTTGCCGTGTGATTTCATCAATGAAATGATTTGGTTTTGATGAGAAAAATTGTTGAATTCCCTAAAAATATTCGATTTTTTTTTTTTGCTTTTTTTTTTACGAAAAATTATTGCAAATTAAACAAATTAATCATTTCAAATTTATCGGATTTATTCAAAAAGAGGGTGGTGACAATTCAACTCTTCTTAAATTAACATTTTAATTAATTTCAAATTTGTGAATTCATAATGAATAGTAGATAAATAGAGCAATTAGGAATGAGATTTAGAATTTATTGCTTATTTAAATTATTTTATGTTTGTTTTCATTTAAAGCTCAAATTTTTCATCACCACAATTTGAAACTTCAAATGTCACGGGTAATTTTTTTTTTTTTTTTTTTGAAAAATTATTTTTCTAATATTGCTTATCTGATACATCAGTACCATTTCATCCCTTAAATCGTTTCTTAAAGAAATATTTATAAGTAAATTATAAAATCATTATTTGTAAACTGTAAAATGAATTGTAAAATGAATTAAGGTCATCATTTGTAAACTGTAAAATGAGCTAAGGTCAACATTAGCAAACTAGAAAATGAATTAAAGTCATACTGTAAAATGTGCATACTGTAAAATGAATTAAAATCATCATTAACAAACTGTAAAATGAATCAAAGTCATCATTTGTAAACTATAAAATGAGCTAAGGTTATCATTAACAAACTATAAATTAAAGTCATCACTGGAGTTAAAAACTATAAATTAAAGTCATCACTGGCATACTGTAAAATGAATTAAGGTCAATAATTTGTAAGCTGTAGAATGAACTGAGGTCATCATTTGTGAACTGTAAAATGAAAAACTCAAAGTAAATATATTTCAGAATTCGATAGTATTTTTTGGTGATGAAAAGAGTGGTATCATTCGAATTATCAGTTTATTTACCAATGGGAAAATAATTTGGAAATTGATAACGAAATTATGATAATTAATTGCAATCTTTAAGTATTCCATTTCAGATAATTAATCAATTGAAATTTTTTGATAAGATCAGAAAGAATGTTAAGAATGTGATTTTAATTAAACGAACAAAATTTTATTACTTAAAAAAGTTTGTTAGAATAATTTTTAATCGATTAGATATATTCACAAATGTTTTTCCTTTTTACAATTACTGTATTTATTTCAGTACATATTCTTACGGTTTATTTTCCTCATTTCTTTTATTGTCATCGATGAAATTTAAAAAAAAAAAAAAAAAAAAAAAAAAAAGAAAAAAAGAATGATTGAAATTCCAAATTACATATTACAAATGGAATGATAAAATGGAGTCATTTGAAAATCTTCGGACATTTTCCGTATCTGCTAATGATTATTCCGGTTATTCAAATTCGGTTCCGGAAAGAAACGATGAAAAAGAATGTTAGTATTATTTTTGCTAAAAAAAAAAGAAAGTAGAAGGAAAGAGAAACGATTAGAACTGGTAATGTATGAAAACATCGCTGGAATTCATTCTTTCATTATCGTTCTACGAATGCTTGTGTATGTGAGTCTGTATGTATGTGTGTGTGTGTATGTGTGTGTATGTTGTCTGAATGTATGTGAGTCTATGTGTGGTATGTGTGTGTACGTTGTCTGAATGTATGTGAGTCTATGTGTGTATGTATGTGTGTGTGTATGTTGCCTGAGTGTATGTGAGTCTATGTGTGTGTCTGTGTGTGTATGTTGTCTGAGTGTATGTGAATACTATGAGTGTATGTGAGTCTATGTATGTATATATGTATATATGTGTGTGTGTGTGTATGTGTGTATGTGTATGTGTGTATGTGTATATGTTTGTGTTTGTATGTTGTCTGATGATAATCGATGATTAATTTTTTTTTTTTACTGCTTTGTAATGAAATGATAGTCTGATCATGTTGTCGAAAAATGATAATTGAATCCATTTATCACTGTGTTCAACTTTCTTGTATTTTGTTTAAAATTGAAATTTTAAAGCTTATTTCACTGATAATTTCATATCATCCCAACTATATTGTTATCATATCATTAATATTTGTTTTATATTTATGTATTTTGAATAATATTTCATTTTATCTGT